GTTCAGACTTCGCTACAGCAGCGCTTCGGTCGCGCGTCCGACGCGAATGCAGTCAAAAGTATGCGCATCGATTGTGTCGAGTGCTCAACCGAATCGCTACCGTCGCGAAGGACGTTGCCTAAAATCCGCGACACATTGAGATGCCTCGTCGATTCGGTTGACGAGAACCATAAAGCGAAATCGCCGGGTCGATGAGCATTGCTGCCGCGCACATGGACTGCGATTGAGGAAAGTTGTTCAGGCTAACTAATCATTCACTCGTGTACCGAAGCACAAAGTGCTCTTCGGACCGTTGCACACGCCAATATGGTCGTAGCCATGTGTCCTCGAAGACAAAGTTCGCGATAGCCAGATTACTGGAGGCAGAGAACCCAAGGCGTTTCTCATTGGTACGACCGTCCTTATAAAGTGGTGCAGGAGTGTCAGTGCTTTACAATCAAGGCAACCATAGCGCTAAGGGCACATTAACGTGCTGTGGAGAAGTTTTTCTTCCTCCACCTATTAGCGGTCGAGCTGGGGGAGTAGACAGCAAGAGGGAAAGATTCACCCGCGGTGTGCATGCGCGGCCTGTCGAGCGGAGTGACCGGACACTGCTCAACGCGGCCCATCACTGTGCTCTTATAGGTTAAATTTTTGTCAACCAATGTTTTCTAGAAAGTAGCGCCAGAGCGCATAATAGTAACTACAATCGGTATTCGCAGTAGAATACACCTTTGAAAAATAACCCATTGCGCTCGAAATGTGCTACTCAGCTATCGTCCATATCTCTAAGCTTTGTCCGTCATTATCCGATACTTCTTGCGTTCTCTTCATGTCATAGTGTTCGTAAAATGCCAGCGAGCTCAATATTCCAGGAGTGCCGTTATAAGGAGCCCAAAAGATTAAGGTTTGCGCCAAGAACAGCACACTGTAAAAAAAATGCTCTAACTCATTCGACGAGCAGAAGCAGAGAGTACAAAGACCCGCTAAGGAAGCTTTGCTCGCAACTGGACAGCAGAGGGGTTGGGGCAGTACCGCTAAGAAAAAAAATGTTTTTGCCACCACCATATCTCCAGACGGTCTTCTCGCGCGGCTCAGCGGAGTAGTTTCTAGCTAGTTGACTAGGCAGACACTGCATAGGGAGTACCTGCTGATCCAAGGAGGCGGGCACAAGGAGAGTCCTGAGAATCGACGCGCCGCGCCGCAGCACCGCTACGCGCAAATGCTATGCACGTATTGTTCTCTGGGATGTATCAGGGGATGATTAGCTTGCGCTGCTAGAGACAGTTTTCCACCAACTATGGTTGCCTGCAGGCTTCCTTCATTGCTGAAGGAAGGGCTGGCGATGCGCCAAAGCCAGCCCCCTGAGTTGTCCAATCATCCGCAGCAAACAAGACTAAACATCATCACCCCGCTTGTAGCTACTATTTTGCCGCGCTATTCAAATTGTGCAGAGGATGTGGAGCATCATTCACCAGCCGCAACTGGTGAATGATGCTCCACATCCTCTGCACAATTTGAATAAATATGGTCATTTCTAGTATCTCAGAAGGAATACTAAAGAAATGCATAGGGAAAACAAATCAACTACACGAGTAATGGGAAAGTCTCTCAGCTCAACTACATACCAAATGGTCTTCCAGTTCTTTTGCAATTGAAAGTGGCTTTGCAAAAGAAACATATGTGCATATCACGAAGCATGGGGAGAGCATCCAGCATTTCTTTCATGGACATTGACATTATGCCTGAAATATGTACCAGTTAATGTGATTCATTTCATTTGTAGAATGGTTCCCACATATTTGCGATGATTGTTGGAAACTTAGCGCTCACGTGGTTGAAAACGTGCAATACCGTTACGCTCTTCAAGGCCCGGCTATTGAATGGAGGAATTATTATCTCGGTGGGAGAGCACAGATGCAGCAGTAGAATAAGGCGTCATGCGCCATCAAAATTGAATCATTACGAAGGACAGAAAGAAAAATTGAAGAAGATAATTGCGACTGCCAAATGCTAAAGGATAAAGTGTTGCCACGCAGTGCGGTATAAATCGCTATACAGTTGGTCTATGAAATCAAAAGCTTAAGGGTAGAG